GCAGGACTCGTCTCAAGACGCGGACGAAGACAACGCCAGAGATAAGTTCCGTACGGAGAGGTCGGCCACCATTAGTCTGACGGCAAACACCCGTTCAATGGATCGCCAAATACCGGACTCTTTGGACTCATTAGCCGCTGATTTCAAACGGAATCAGAAACACGAGAATAAGCAGAAGAAGCGCCGCAATCGCCAGAATAGGCGACAGTTTGGCAGTCATTATGAAAGACAAACGCAGCCAATGAGTGCCGGTATGTCTTCGGGTGGCAGTCATCACAATCGCGGCCCAGACTTAAGAAATCTGATTAATCGTCCGCCGAATGGCCGAAGACATGGTTTCAATCAAACCAATCGACTGCTCAGCGAATCAAATGCTCTTATAATGAATCAGATCCAGAATTTGGCCAATAATTTGACCGCAAATCTGAATCCGATTACAAAATTGGTAATCAATTGATATATTTTACAGCTTTTTGACGTCTAATCATTTGATGTCTTTTTCCACAGCAAATGGATTTAGGAATTCTTAATCCAAATCAGCTGTTATTGAACGCTCTGTTGAGTCAAAATCAGTCGATTCCTGCGGCCAATCGATTGCCGTCTTCGCTGACCACTGGTCGCAGCACTTCTTCATTGAACCAAATGCAGGCATTGAAACCAAATGATGACATTCAGATCACTATCAGAAATCGCAACAACAATAATAGCGGCCAATCACTGAATGCCATCAAAATGTCGACAAAACCGCAAATCAAATGTTTGGTCACAAAAGACAAAAGTGATTCCGATATTGAGATTTTGAGCGAAACGGACGGCTCTCACAATTCAGGCAGTAATTTATTCAGCGGATTGTCAGTCAATGACAATGAGAGGGCCAACAGCTCTGGCAATGGCGACCATTTCGCCAACGCTTTGGCCGAAGCGGAGGTCGGCGTCGATAACGACTATTTGACACGACTTCGAGAACAAGAGGAACAGAGACGACAACTGAAGGAATATAAAGAGAAGAGACGTCTGGAAATGGCCGACGAAAGGCTCCAATCGGCTGAACATTTGAAGGCAAAGATTGCCAATCGAAACACATTCAGGCGATAACCAATTGATCTCAAAATGAATCGCTTTTCATACAAACAAATCATTTATCACTTGTTTTTCATTATTACAGTAATACTAATTATGTGTTCAATACTTTTTACATGTTTACCATCAATTGATGGACAGTTTTTCATACAATGTTTTAATTATTGTCTAATTATTTGAATCATTGACATATATTTTGATTATTGTGTTAAAAATACTATTATAAAAACTAAAGCAATGCCAAAATAAATCATTACCTGTAAACAGATATGGATCACAATATTTAGCTTTTTATGCAAATATTAAGACATATCTCTGATCACAAGAATATGACTAATATTTTAATTATTGAATTCTTTGATTTTTTTTGTAAAATTGTGAAATTTTAATAAAAATTATTAAAAATTAAAAACAATCATTTGTTTTTTATTTGATTTAAATCGCTATACATTTACAATTACATAATTAGATTCCTTGACCTTATATTCGTGTCCATCAATGAATTGTTTGTCTGCTTTACCAGAAGACATAGCACTAAAGTTGATCTGATCGACAATAAAACCATAGTATGTATGACAAGAGTAAGAGGGAGGCGATGGCCACAGAAGCGGAAATCATAAATAGTTATGAATTAAATAAAGACAAAGATTTAAATTAAAACTGATTTATTTCAAATTTTGAAAAGGCGTCGAAATGTGTCCACAATTGCAATCATTTCTCATATTTAAAACAATATTTACCTTAAAATAAATGTAAAATCCAGTTGTCATTGAATGCCAAACAATTTCTTCAAACTTTAAGTTTGCGATGTCTTTGTTTGTGGCCATCAATGAGTTGTTTGCCTAAACCCTAAGAGAATGGGAGGAATAGTGTGGGAATGCCTTCTGTTATCGGTTAAAGGTTTGACACCTTTCCGCTCGAGGACTGACGGACNTTTGACAAAACGGGTGGTCTTCTTATCTCTGTAGACGATATTTAGATTATTACTGAACGGATCAATTGTCAGCAACTCTTCGTCCTCTCCTCTCGCGATATACGACACGAAACCTCCCTTTTCTCGATCGAACTCATTGTCGCAATTGAAATGTATGACCACATCCAGCGCCGGCTCTTCGCTCAGTTCGGCGCTGTTGTCGTGAACTAACGTATAGCACGAGTGAGACCACCGACGGATCTCTCCTCTGCAGCGGGGGTTCTCTTCACCTGATTCTGTCCATTCAATTCATACATTAATACAACAATTAAATGGTTATTGCATTCACTAATGCATACCGTCTTCGTCGGAGTCATCGCTATCTGATCCGTAACTAGTGGCCAACTCGTGGAGCTTAAGGCCCGTCAGGTTCGACAGGATTAGGAATACGGCTTCGGAGCGAAAGAGTTCGTACGCTTCCAACACAATGGCCGGACAGCTGGAGACCTGTGCCGTCTCGTATCGCCTCATATTTGGCGGACAATTAAACTTCCAGACAATGGCTTCGCTGTCACTCAAAGCTCGGGCCAACTCTTGATACTTATCGCCATTGAAGAAGTCCTGTAACACTATTTCGGACAACTCTTCAAAGCGGGACTGAATCTCCATTTGCGTCGAGTCGTCCAAATAGATGGGATTAATCCACGCGTTCACCACATCCAGAGGCACTTCTGTGGCCGACTCTGTGCTAAACGCGGGCTCGATATAGCGTTTCGGTCGTTCGAGTGGCGACCCGTGGAACCAGCCGTTGACGCTCAGCCGGATCTTGTTGTCGGACAACACTTCCGACACCTGATGCCATGTGATTGGATTCACTTCGAAGAATGCCAAGCGATTCCATTTGGGCGCCACAGACGCCACGATCTCCGATGGCTCGCCATTGGCTGTCGAGGTGTGAAATCAATTGAGATAATGACTCTGGAGATGGTTCTGGACTCACGATTGACATCAAATAAGTCAAGTAATCCGCCGTCACTTGTCTTCCAGTCGGGAACCAAATACAGTATGAAAGCGACTCTTCGGCCGTCGATCTGGTCGTCGTCGTCGTGACACAAGAGGTAGTCTGAAATCGAAGACAGTATACCATCGATGAGATGGCTATCAATGACTGAATCAAATCACTTACCGTTTTGTTCATATCGGCTGACAGTGAGAGCGATGTTATCATTGAGTGATAGGTTTGTGAGTCTTTCGACGAATGGCTTCACGTGTTTGGCGAAGAGTTGACACAACTGTCCAATGGTTCCCGACTTAATGTTATTCAAGTCAACCGATTGTCTCAACCGATACAAGTCGTTGTTCTTCACGTTTAGATCCAATTGATTGATCTCACGCTTGAGTCGCGTCAAGAACTCTGGGCTGTCGAGGAAGTGGTCCAAAGAGATCGCTTTAAATGGTTTGTCAAACACACAGATGTCATCGGCATTGAGTCCATCGGTGGTGGTAGTAATGGTCGTGGGCTTAACTCCGGAGGAATACCAGTCGACCAATTGGTCCAGCGATTGGCGGTAACCGGCGTTTATGCCGACATCCATGTCGTCAGTCTTGTGTCGCTTCCGATCGCCGCTTTGGGAACCGTTGGACGCGTGTCTTGTCTGTGAGTTGGTGTCACTCATGTCTGTGTCCGCGAAGTGTCGGCCCGTTTACCACAGATTGCGATTGGATTTGAATTTATTGTTTATTTCATACAAAATGTAAACAAATTGTGTAAACATTACAACACGTGTTCGCATAGACTCTACACATAAGGGATTGTATTGTAATTACTATTCAATGAATCAATACATTAAGCGATTCACAACTTTATGAACACGAAAGACAAGTTTTGTGAAGTTTAGATACAATACTTTATACCATGTTCATTGAAATATTAATTTATAGCTTAATTAAACAAATTATTTATATTGTAAACATTTCTATATGTTTCTTAATTAAACAATCTTGAAATTAATTATTTGTTATAAAATTCATACAATAATTTCTGTATTATAAGTTAGCATAACGTTTATGGCATAGTTTTTAGACGTTTTTATAACAAATAAAACTTATTTTCTATATAAACATTAAATTTATTCAAAAATTCAAATAGTTTTTTAATTTTCACGAATTAATTAATTGTTGCAATAATTTGTTTGAAAATGTTTTCAATTTTTTGTTTTTTGTGCAAAATTTAAAATTAAATCCAAACGTCAAATGTGTTGACAATTGCAGTCATTCTCACAACTTATTCTTCACTAAACTTTAACTAATCCTCTCTTTTCGCACATTATTTCAGACTTCAATCAAAACAACACTCAAATCAACACATCTTCCATCGAAATGACTCTGAATTCAAGACCTGTACTTTGCTTTGGACTCAAGACATGGATCTCAAGACTTTTCAGGTAAGAGAGTCTCTTAAAGAGGCTAACCATTTATTGAATTCAAACCAAAGTATGGGTTAATGCCATGACTTGAGGACTGACGGCACCCAAAGGTAGATACAGTTCGCCTGCGGGTCCGTAACGTAAGTCCGTCA